TGCTGGTGGGAATGTAAATTAGTTCAACCAGAGTGGAAAGCAGTATGGTAGTTTCTCAAAAAGCTCAAAATAGAAATACCATTTGACCCAGGAATTCCACTTCTAGGAATTTACCCTAAGAATGCAGCAGCCCAGTTTGAAAAAGACAGATGCACCCCTATGTTTATCGCAGCACTGTTTACAGTAGCCAAGAAATGGAAGCATCCTAAGTATCCATCAGTAGATGAATGGATAAATAAAATGCTGCAGTACATATACACAATGAAATAGTATTCAGCCATAAGAAAACAAATCCTACCATTGGCAACAACATGGATGGAGCTAGAGTGTATTATGTTCACTGACATAATCCAGGCGGAAAAAGACAAGTACCAAATGATTTCACTCATGTGTGGAGTATAAGAACAAAAGAAAACTGAAGGAACAAAACAGCAGCAGAAGCACAGAATGCAAGAATGGACTATAGTTACCAAAGGGAAAGGGACTGGGGAGGACGGGTGGGAAGGGAGGGATAAGGGCGGGAAGAAAAGAAAGGGGGCATTACGATTAGCATGTATAGTGTTGGGGGGGCACAGGGAGGGCTGTGCAACACAAAGATAAGTAGTGATTTTACAGCATCTTACTATGTTGAAGGACAGTGATTGTGAACTTGGTGACAATTAGTGATTTTACAGCATTTTACTATTTTGACGGACACTGACTGTGAATGGGGATGTGGGGGGGACTTGGTGAAGAGGGGAGCCTAGTAAACATAATGTCCTTCATGTAATTGTAGATTAATGATACCAAAATAAAAAAAATTTAAAAAAAAGGACCGCATGCATGAAACAGTTAGAAAAATGGACTAAATATTAATCTCAAATAAAAAGTCATTCAATACCAAATTTGAAAAAAAAAAAAAAGGATCCTATTTAGGGAATGATTGGAAGGGAAACTAAAAGCTTTCAGAGCTGTGGTAGGAAGAATGGTGACGTCAGTAATCAACACAGGGAGTGAGAGTAACTCAGGGGTGAGGTGCCGAGAACAGCTGTGGCCATGACTATAAGGCCGGTCCCAGGTCAGACATCTCTGCAAAGCCCTCCTAGGGGGCTCTTGGCAGGATGAGGTCCTCTTCTAGAGTCTCAAAGCACTCTGCAAAGATCACACTGTATTTTAAATCCATCCATCCTTTGCTAAAATAAAGGGTGGTCCCTACAGGAAGACAGAGTGAGATCTCCCTCTTATCCCCTCTCCCAGCCTCTCCCAGCCTGAAGTCATGTTGGGACCTGCACAGCACAGTGGCTAAAATCACAGGTTCTGCCATCAGGCCAACTGGACTCCTGGTGGCAACTAGGCCACCTACTGTTGCCGAGGCAGGCAGCCACGGGCAGGCTGCTCACTCAGAGCCTTTGTGCTTCAGGCCTAAAGCAGGGCAGCGGGTTCTCACTTAGGCTTCCCCTGGCTACAGAGACATCTTCCTCGGACCGGCCCACCCCCAAAACCACCTTCCTCCTCCTCCAGCAACACTCACCTGGGACATAATTGATTCCACAGTCGATGACCACTGCCCCGGGTTTGATCCACTCCCCTTTCACTATTTCAGGCTGACCAGCTGCCACCACCAGAATGTCACCTTTATTTACCTAAGAAAAAAGGGTTTTGACTTCAGAAATTAAATGAAACATAAAAAAAAAAAATTGAACAGTACAAAGGCATCCCTAAGCTCTGCATGAAATTCTTCATTGTCATCAGCCATTTTATGCAGCCACACAGCATCTCTGACGGCTCTTCATATGATGCACTGATTCCCACACATGCCAAAAAGCTTCCCTTTTATGACATTTACCAAATGGGGACCTTGACGAGAACCTGCAGGATAGGGAGAAGCACAGGCTTGGGGCCACAGGCTTCATTACGCAACATCTGAAGACTGCTCCCTCTCCTATGGAATGTGGGGACTGCCACCTTCTGCAGAGAACTGCTTTGGGAGAATTAAAAGAGAAGGTGCTGAGTCTGTCAGACTGCACTGTTGGTAGGGATGTATACATGAGAGAATTGGGCTCAGGAACTGGATGCAGGGGTCAAGAACAAGCTATAAAAGATGTCACAGGACCACTGTTCACATCCCCCTCTGGAGCACCTCTACCTCTGAGGCCACCACGGTTATGCATCTGGGGACTGGCTGTCAGGGGTCAACACCATTTCTGATACTGCTAATCTCCCTGAAGTAGACTGGTGTAAAAAGAATATGATCAGAACAAAATCTGTATAACTTGGGCAAACTTTTAATTTTAATTTGTTTCTTCATCTTGTAAAATGAGACAAGAATTGTAGAATTGTTACAGGAGTTAAATAAGATTAAGACAGAGTACATGGCAGTTTCTACACTTAAATGTTAGCTATTCCCATTAGGTGAGAAATCACACGTGCATGTGTGTGCACACACACACACACACACACACACACACACACACACACACACACACACACACACACACACACACACACACAGCACCTTCCACTCTGGACCGTTTACCTCCTCACTTAGATTGGCAGTCTTGGAGTGACAGATGGTCACTGTGGCATGGTTCCACAGAAGCAAGGCATGCATTGGGGCACCGACTATTTGACTGCGCCCAACCACCACAGCATGCTTCCCAGCAATCTGCACCCCTGAAAGAAAAGCAAGAGTGCCTCAGAGAACTAGGGGAGCCTGCCCTCCTTCACAGGCCATCTAAATGGGAAAATTCAGAACAAGTGCACAAAAACATGCTCTTAGCATCAAATGGAAATGTTTCTAAAAACATTCTTTTGTGAGGCAAACAGTGAATCTGTAGCATCTTACTATACGGATGGACAGTCCCTGCATTGGGGTATGGGTGGGGACTTGAGAATATGGGTAAATGTAGTAACCACATTGTTTTTTCATGTGAAACCTTCGTAAGAGTGTATATCAATAATACCTTAATAAAAAAATTTTTTTAAATTATTTCTTGATACTATCTCAACTACAGGGTTTCCACTACAAACTAGGACTTGTACTTAATATCCTTGCTGTGGATTTTTGGGAGCAGCTTAAGCCAAGAGCCATTCCTTGAGTCATAAGAGAGTGGGAAGAAAACCTACACTCAAAAAAGAAACCTTGACATACAGCTAAACAGCCATATGGAAGAAGACATCAGATAAAATTACATGGGAAAATAGTTCTAACAAATAGGGTGTGTGTAGTGAGGTGAAGGGAAGTGATGGAAATTAGATCAGTTATCAGTAATTCTTTCCAGATTTGCTAAGTTTATTTACACAGTTCCTCATCCAAATTTCTCTTCTGGCATAACGCCTCAGCCATAGGGTTATTTATGGCCAAGTCAAAAGGGAACTTTGTATTAGAAAGCTTTCTTTTTGTTTATTCAGCATCTATTCTTCTGGCACTATCCCAAGTTCTTCCAGGACTGATGTACTCTATTCAACAGAGATGGTGATGGAAGGAGGCTGGAGCTACTTGAAGCCACCGAGCTCATTCACAGAAGCAAGCAGAGATAAGGTCCTGAGGACTCCACCTGAGCCCCCTTCACCCAGCCAGACTTAAGTGGACTCTTGCTTGAGGTGGTTTGTGTTTAAATTGTGCTTCTTGCCTAACATTAATTTTATCTAAAAAAGATAAGCTTCTATATAATGCTAGTATCATGAACAAATATAAGTAAAGCCCTCAAAGTCTGAAGTATTTAAAGGTACCTTACTATACCTTTTAAGATTGAGCGAAGGACTTGAAGCTGAATTAGGACAAATGATCACTTAACTATCACTAAGAGGAAATGGGAAGCCTACAGCTGCTGTGGCTCATGGGATTTGTTTTTATTGCGATGTAACACACTGTTTGCTAAATATGCTGTAGCATATAAATTTAGCTGTAGGACTAAACAGTAATAGCTGTCCCAAGGCTCAAAGCTTGACCTTTTCTTGCCAACCACAGAAAATTTTCATTTACATTGGCCAACACTTTCCACTTGAAACTTTCTGACCTACTTCCTCTAAATAGGCTTCCTTATAAAAACAACCTCTGCCAGAAGTATTCATGATAAAATTAAAATACTAAGATGCTGCCTAGGTAATGGGTGGTAAGTCCAGCTGTTCAAAAGATCCATTGCCAGCCACCTGTCTAGTCCTAGAACTAGTATGGAGACTTGGTGCCCATTTCGGGGTAAAGACTTTTCACTCTGTACTCTTACAAACTATTCTGAATTCTTATTACCATTTAAGTTTTTCTCCCCCCACAAAAAATATACTGATTTGACCTCAAATAACCCTGAATTCAAATCGTGGTTCTGCCACCTCTTAGACAAGATAATCTCTGTGTGCTTGTTTTTTCAGCTATTGCACAATAACAGTACCTACTTCATAGGGGTGTTGAGAAAACTGGTCATTTAGGTAAAGCCCCAGCATACAGGTCTTTGTGCCAATCAAGCCCATTTAGGTAGAGCGCGCAGTGTCCCTCCTCTATACCTCCATGTGTCAAGACCAGGCTCCAAGAAATGGTGCTTTGTTTTTGTCTGCTCGTTGTTACCTGTCTTTTTGATGAGTTCCAAGCATCCTTTAGATGTACATGGGATGAAACAGTCATTTAGGTCACCTTTAGCAAGTTTTCCAGCACTGATGCTAGTCAATCTAAAACAATGAAAGTAATGAAGGTGGGAATAAGAGTAATTAGATCTCTTCACTCTTCAGAGGTACATATATAGAGGTTTGTTTCCAAAATGGAAACACATTATAATTGGAAACATTCAATGCCATAGGGTAAAAGCCAAGCCATACTCACCCATCCACATCCTTCTCAGGTACAATAGCATTGACCACAGCTTCAGTGTTAACTGGATTCTCTGAATCTAAGGGTAGCTGCACTATGAACCCATGTACAGTGTTGTCTTCATTCAAAGATGTAACATACTTTAACACCTAAAAATAATACCACATATAATTTATATACCACACAGAAATCAAAAGGGTGAAGAAACACTTCCCAAGTCAGAAGTCAGGTTGTGCCATTTCTCCCCAAGTCTAACTATAGTTAGTCCTCTCAGAATGTACCTCCCCTTGAATCCTGAAAGTGATGTTATATTACATAGAATGTAATCTTTAGGTGTCTGGTAAGAAATCTGCCAAAGAAGAGAGCTAAAACCTTCAACAATGTCCCTGTTACCATCATCCAAGTGAAGACTTTTTGTGACTACCGAAATGGTGTACTTACATTGTACTTACAGTACAGTGGTGGCTACTGACTGAATACTTGAAATGCGGCTAGTTCAAATGAGGAACTGAATTTCAAATTTCATTTCACGTTAATTATACGGCCACATGGGGCTGGTGGCTACCTTACTGGATGGTGCACAATTAGGACATTTCCATGACCTCAGAAAGTTCTTTTTCCCCTCCTGCCCCTTCACAGTTAATCCCCCTACCTACAGGCAACCACAGTTCTAACCACCAATGATTTGTTCACCCTATTCTTGATCATCATATAAATGGAATACACATTTGGTTTTTAAAATTCAGACAACTATAGGTCAAGGATCCTTTTTCAATGAACATCGCAGGTGATCTGAAGCAAGCGATGGGGCAATCACACTCCTATTGCCGAACACACACACCCTAGGGCTGCACCTTTCCTCCGCGGGTACCTTCAGAGATTTCCAGGGGCAGAGTCTGTCCAGGAAGAATTATCTGGAGGTCGTTGCTACGCTGAATGCCTCAGTTCGTAAAATCCCACTAAACCAAACCCAGAGGAAAGCACTTCAGCCACCCTCTTAGCAGTCAGTTCTTCACAGCTTACCTCAGATTCTGTGGCTGTTCTTGGTAACTTAATGTGAGTGGCTTTAATTCCAATCTGCAAAAATGAACATTTGAAACAGATATATGGCAAGGCAACGTAAGACATGGGCCCTTTTCTTGTGCAGACAGGACTAAAATAAACCCAGCACGGTCACCATCCAGACCTCCTGCGGACTGAGGACTTAAGTCTCTCATTTTAACCCATTCATCAGTTGTTAACTGTCACCCTGTACTTGAGCAATTTATATCCACTATTCCTGCTCTTTGAGAAGTAAGCAGATCATTAATTAGAAAACATTCAAGAGCAAACCAGAGGCCACAGCTCTGAGGCACCCATTTCTGACTTACAAAATAGATAAACTCAAGTCTGCTGTGAGTGATAAAAGTTCTTATGGGGAGGGGCACAAAAGGACAAGGGGTAACTAGCAGGACCGGGGGTGGGGGTGACAGAACCCCTGCTATAAGATTTACCTCTTCAGCAGCCTTCAGCTTCAAATTTATATAAACATTGGACTCGTCTCTGTTGCCAACCTAGAATAATAAATACATGCAAATCAGACAATTAGGGAAAAACAAAGTGCAACAGAAAGGCTTCTAAACTTTTAGTTTTGATAAAAGAAAGGTTTAATCATGAGGCTCTTGCTGCAGAGAACTGTAACAGAATAAGGAGAATGCTGGGTTAAGACAGAAATGTGAACACAGGTAGTTATCACCAACCCCGCCTCCAAGAAGCCCCACCTAATTCCCATTGAACAAGCCAGGTGAAAAGAAAAAGTAGAGAGCATCTGCACCTGCCTTGAAAACTAAGCGAGGGTGCTACAGGCCTGCCTGAAATACGAGTTCCTGCTCGCCACAGAACTGACACACGAGAAGGATAGGGCTGCTGTGGAACTGCCATCCGCCAAGGACACTCAAGCTGAGAGGCAGGAACACCCCGAGAGCACATTCTGCTCTCTCCTCTCTCTCTCTCTCTCTCTCTCTCTCTCTCTCTCTCTCTCTCCCCCTCCCTCCCTCCCTCCCCTAGAGGCAGTGGAAAGCTCTTGGGCCTAACCACACCCAGAAGAGAAACAGCCTGGTGGACCTAATTCTAGCTTACACAGAACAAACGGCTAATTCGAGACTGAAGGCAGTCTGCTGCCATCAAGACAGAGAGGAACATGTGACACAGAAACCAAATCCTTTGAGCCACCTTGCTAGGTCTCACTATGTTCACTCTGTTTCTTTAATCACAAACATATTTATAGTTTTTCATGGTAACCATTTATCTGTAAAATTTTACTTTATAAATATTTTTCCATGTTCTTCTACTTGACATTTATCTTTTTCAAGGTCAAAATAGTCTTTCAGGGTGGATATGCCACAGTAAGTTTGGCTTCACTCAAAACTGCCAAGGGAAAAATGGTAGCTCCCTTGATACTAAAGATAACTGACACATGGCTCCTTTTAACAGGACAACCACAGAGAAAGAAGCCTTAGTAACAGTATCTCCAGTCCTTGTCAGGTTGATGCTTTACAGGAACGTCCCCTTGGTTTCACCTCTTAGCTTCAGGTGTCCTTTGCACAGGTAGTTCTCAGTTTTGCCAGTTCTAATTTGAATTTTAAGGGAGCCAGATGAGCCCTTTGAAGGATCTGATTTTTCTATGGATTATTTGCACCTAATACACAATATTAGTTGCTTCCAATGGCTTCACTAGAATTATAGTGCCTCTCGTGTTTCTTCTTTGGCCATTTTCTTATTCATTTACTATGTTAATATACTCTAGAATTTTTAGATCAAAGTAGGAAAGGAGGTGGTTCTACATACAGAGTATTGGCTTGTTACATTATCACTAATATTTATAACTACAATTTGTTGTTTAGACTTAATTCTGAGATTAAATGGTTTTATTGCTCACTGCCAGTTCCTCTTTAAATCACAGCTTCTCTGTTCTACAGTTTATCTTGATTCATCTGTCAGGTTGCCAAAATGCAGCTGTCAGTCACTTCTCCAGGAAAGATATGTGGGCATTTTTCTGAGTCTATGTGTATTTGAAAATATTTTCTGCTGTCTTTGCACTTGAAAGGCCTCACTGGGCTAAACTGGGAGTCATGACATTTGCCTTCAGCGATGCCATCTTCAGCATCTCATGTTACAGAAGAGAGGTCTGAAGCCTCCTGTTGACCCTTTCTGTCTGAATGTTTCTGAAGAAATTTTTTAAAACTTCAAAACTGCCATGAGTTTAAAAAGAAAGCTTAACAGTTACAGTTAGCAGCATATATCAAAGTTTTATTATAATCTTCATGCAAAGGAAAAGCCCTCAAAGACTACTCAAAGACTCAAAGACTCAAAGACTCTCAGACAGGCATTTTACAGGGACAAATGGTTATACAATCCTTGCTAGACTAGATGAAAAAAGATATTTAACTGAAGAACAGTGGATTCTTGACTGACAGTCAAGTGGGTGGGTGGAAGACTGGTTTCCCAGGCTTCAAATCTTAATCCTATTACAGTTTATCAAGAAAATCACTTAAGCATTTTATCAGGAATGCTAATTTCTGCTTTGAAGGAGGTGAATTACATCACGTTAAAAAGGTCCTATACCAGAATGAGTTAGGGACAAATTTCTTTTTAAATACCAGGAGCCTGCAAACTGTTTCTGTAAAGGGATATATATTTTAGGTTTATCAGGCCACATACTCTGTCACACATTCTTCTTCTGCCTTTTTTTTAACCCTTAACAACCTGGGCAGCATTTAGACGTGAGTCAGATTACTGATCCCTGCTCCACACCATAAAATATCTTGGGTAATGATCTACTCTTTAGTTTTCTTTCTGTTTCAAGAACCTTTTGTAGAAATTCAGGCCAGCTCAGTTTACTAATTTTGTTTTTCCATGTCTTCTTTGGAGGACTGAATGAGTTACTATGCCCAAAGCACTTTGAATAGTTCCTGGCAGGAAGCAAGTGTTAGTTATTATATTAATAATAATTAAAGTGTTTTATGTGCTAAAGGGATAAAAATATACAACCTCATTTGTATCTCTTATAATGAAAAGTCAAGTCTTAATTTCCTTAATTAAACAGTCAGTTATTTGGGAAGTTTAACCAATTCATTTTTTTTTTTAATTTCAACTTTTAGGTATACATACCTGGGTCAGATCATGAATACCCTTAAATGCAATGCTAATCAATTAGAGTAAAAAGGGAAAAAGCACATGGTTTTTGGGGAGAAACAGACCTGGGTTCATATCCCAATCTTAGTCCCTTCCTGACTGTGGCTTTCGGCAAGCTACCTGAGACCTCTGAGCATCAGCTATTGTACCTATTAGGAGATAGTTTCCACCTCTGAGGGCCAGTATAAAAATCAGAACTAGAATTATATACAGATCATTTGGAATGCAGTAGACATATAAGCAGTACTGTCATCTGTAAAGGATGTGGAGTGGGTGTGGTTGGAAGAATTGTGATTAGATTTGCATTTTGACAAGGGCTGCAACTGCAGTTAAAATGAGTCTGGAAGCATCCAGAGCAGAACCCTAAAACCTGTAAGCAGGCAAACTGTAGCATGGTGTGCAGGTCCAGGGAGTGGGAGCAGCAGAAATCGAAAGAGGGAACAGATTCCAAGAGCTTATGAGAGGCAGAATCAATACCACAATAGTCTCTAAAGGGATGTGGAAAGTGAGAGAGAGAGAGAGATCCTAAAGAGATAATCTCAAATTTCTGGTTTGAATGTGGGAAGATAGTGATGCCAGTCAGCAGGATGGAAAAAACAAGAGGTCTGAGGCAGCAGGGATGTGATTACAACATAGTATGTAAGCCTTGCATCATAGAAGGATGTTGACTCTGGTGCTAAAGTGCAAGATTAAAATATTCTACCACCGTTTTATTGGCAAGGACATAGAAGACAAGGGGCAGAACAGTGTTTATGTAACAAAACCACTTGCAATCAATAAATTTAAAATACAAGTTTGGAAGTCAAGCTTAAAAGAAATCCCAGTATTGCTGAAGAAAGGTTTACAGAAACAGATTTATTGCCTCTGACATTTAGTCCTTCTACAACAAACAATTCACAAGAATAAGCCAAGAAATAACTGGTCCCCCAATGTACCGAGTGTACACCCACACCATATACCTTTAATTTTTAGTCCTTTGAGAAAAAAGAAAGCCCACCCAGCAGAGCACACACCAGGCAGAACAGGCCTTCTGTGCTGCTGCTCAGCTAAGGCCTCTCAGATAATGAACAGCAAGGGCGGAAAATATTTCAGTACTATTTAGTCTGAAATTCTTGGAACAGGGAACAGAACTTGGAAAGGGATTAAATGATGTACGTGGAGACATACATATGGAGAGAAATGTAAAGTGAGGAAGCAGGAGTTTCTAAAGGGCCTCTCAAATGCAAGTTAGCAGTTTCCTGTCATCCAAATCAACCCTTCAAACATTCATTTTACATTTGCCTATAAGACAAATCTTTATTGAATGCCTCCTACCAATTTATTGAAGGTCTCTTATTGGGGGAATCTCATGCTCTGGGAAGAGCATAGAGGCCTAAATGAGGACTGTGTATTCTCCTGTGTAGCTACCGCACTGGCTGAGCTCACTTAGGGAAACAATAAGGTGGGAAAAGGTCTGAGGGCTGAGCCCTGAGGCAGTCAAATGGTTCAGGTAACAGGAATATCAAGAGCAAGCAAAGATCTGAGAAGGAAAGGTAGAGTGGTATCCTAGAAACCCAGAATCTAGAACTTAGATCTAAGTTTAGAAGTTACTGATCTACAGTTGACATTTGGGACCAGATGAAACCACCTAGGGCAATGGTTCCCAAAGGGTGGTTCACATACTCTTGGGGGAACCCCAAGACCCTTTCAGAAGATCTTTGAGTGACAAACTACTTGCATACTGATACTGTGCTGTCATTTGCCTTTTCCACTATATTGACATCTGTACTGAGGCTGCAAAAATAGTGGTAAGACTGCTGCTGATTTAGCATACTTTAAGACAATGGCACCAACCTACACTAACTCCCAAGGGTATCCTTCACTGCCACATCATCTCTATAAAAACAGGTGCTAACTGCACTTAGAAGTGCTCTTGATGAAGCAGTAAAAATTAGTTTTATTAAAACTCAAACCTTGTGCACATGTCTCTTAATATCCCAGCTAAAGAACCGGGAGGTACTCATATAGCACTTCTGCCTCACACAGATGGCCATCACCCAGAAAGCCCTTGTGCTCTCTCGCCTTGCCAGCTGAACCAGCAGTGGTTCCAAATGACCCATCATCTTCACCTGGAAGTACACTGACGAGCAACGATTATTCGGGAATGAATATTTGGCAAATATTTTCCCAAAATTGGACAAAGTGAGCCTGCTATATCAAGGAAAGTAACTAACAGTATTTGTTGCCAGTAATAAAATCTGAACTCTCAAGTGAAAATTAGAATTTTACATCCATTCCTGTCAATATTTAAAGGCTTTTCTGATGAGTTCATTGGTAGTATTAATCATTATGATTTTTTTACAACACATAATGTGAAATGTGTTAAAATTTGGAAGATCTACATAATTCTGTGAACATTACTTTCAAAATGAGGAATGAAGGACACAACAAAACCGTATATGAGTAAACATCCATGTAAACTGCAACATAAAACAATGGATTTTCATGTAACAAAGTATGAAAGTTCACTAATACAGTTTCAGATTCCACACTGCAACTACCTTTAAAAAGTTTACTTATTGAGTCCTGGAGTGGTATGAAAGAAAAATATCCACAATTATCCAGGAAGACTATTAAAAAAAACTCTTCCTTTTACTGCTACACTGGTCTGGTCTGTATGAGGCCAAATTTTCTTCATATATTTTAATCAAACTAGCATACGTCAAGAGATTGAATGCAGAAGTAGGTGAGACTCCAGCTATCTTCTATTAAGCTACACAGTAAAGAGTTTTCCAAAAATGTTAAAATAATGCCCCACTTCTCACTAAATTTTGTTTTCTAAAAGTTATTTTTTCATAAAAATGTTACTTATGCTCACATATAATGAGCTTACTACTGGCATTTTTAAATGTATAAATATTTTTAAACTTATTTTTAATTTCTAATACTGTAAATATTAATGGATAAAGCCATATAATCAAAAGCTCCTTAAGATCTTAAATTTTTAAGAGTGTCAAGGAGTCCTAAGACCAAAGTTTAAGAGACACTTAACTAGGGGAAGGGAACACCAGAGAACAGCAGGGGCACAGGACACACCAACTTGGAGAAGCTGAGCTAAGGAGGTGCAGCCCACAAAGAAAACTGAAAAGGTACGAGGTTTCACACAAACAAAAGAAACCAGAGAGGGAGAGGCTGAAGTTCTTGTTTGTAAGTGTTACTGGAAGATTGAGAAAAGACAGTATTAGTGGAAACACACTATCATAATACCTGTAAAACCGCCAGGCCTGGTGTGAAACCCGGTACTTGCTCCTTCATCTGAGCGACTTGGTTCTTCAGTCTCTCCTTTATTTGTCTAGAGAAAAGGAAAGGTTGAAGTTGACATTTAATGTTTCAAGCACACATAAACATGTGGATTATTAGATGTGCTTCTCTTTTAAATTAAGAATACCTTCACTGAAGAGATGTTTTCTGGTATAGTAGGTGCCATGAACTTTATATCTCTTTTCCAGGCCTCAAGTAGACATGGATATTTTCTAACTCCTACTGACACTGACTGGGCAATGGGATATGGGACAGTGGTTTAAAAGATATAGTTGATGGCATTCAAAATCATACAGTGAACCTAACATCCTCCTATGCTGACAGATACTAACCACACTAGTTGGGGGGAGGATTTAATAATATGGTAACTGTTGAACCACTGTATTGTATCCTTGAAACCAATAAAAGATTGTATATCAATGATACAATAAAAAAATCATACAGTGAACAAATGAAAATTCGGACCAATACTTCTGGAAGGCTGCTACTTCTTTTTCAGCATTTCTATTATCCAAGTGTTATATGAAAAAATTTTGAAGTAAAGAACTAGAGTTCACTCCTACTGCTCAAACTACCCTAGTGAGATGATCACAAGGTATCCACATAAGGCTGAATGATAATCAATGAATCCCACTCCAAAGTGAGTAAGAATTTACAAATTATATTCTAATTAACAGAAGCATTTTCCTTATAAAAGAATTTAATACAAGATTAAAAGTATAACCTCTTGTGAAACAAAGATAAATTAATTTACAAACACACAGCTTCTCAACCATGCAACAGGACATCAAGTACATTAAATTACATCCATAAAAAAACATTCAAAGTAGTCCAATCTTGGCCAGTGATGAACTTTAACAGATTTGTCTCTCTCGAAGGACCAGTTTTGTCATCTGCCTTTCTTCATCTTAGCCACCTCAACCACACTTGACATACAAATATACACTGACATTAGCAAGCATCTTCTCCTTCGTTCTCATTCGGTTATTCCCAGGTGCAATTCTCCACACCTTACAAACAACTGATATGAACAGACATGGGAATCACCAGAAATAGATTATCTGAATTAGCCTACGAAAGGTAAGAATTTGAACGATAAAAGAAGTCATACCTAAGACTTCAAAACTTTATTTCTAGCTTGTGACCTTATTTTTTCAAATCAATACTCAATACAAAGAATGAACAGAACACTGGATTTCCTTTCACTGGGATTTAACTTGAACAGGGGCCACATTCTTCTCTGACACATGAGAACAGTAAATACTGGTGCTGCCAGGTTTGCATTAGGCTGCCGCTGTAACTCCCAGCAGTTCCAGCCTTAGCTGGTTTCCCTGCATGACAATCATATGTGGTGCCTGGGTACTCCACTCTCTCTTCTCCCCTCGGTTGCCTCCAACCATAAAGGGCAAGGCAAAAAGTTCCCAATGGATCCAAACCCAAACAAAACCATTGGCTTGGGTGTGTGTGGGGGGACTCCAATCACCCCTAACACAATGTAAGACAAAAACAGTTACCAACAGTGAAAACAGCTCAATACAGGTCCCTCACTTTTTGGAAAGTTTGCGTTACACCACTTCATTTTACCAAACACCTATGTTAGTACCTGTTTTCACTAACCAAATGAAATCTGGAGACAATTTTTGCTTTTATGGAAAAAAAAGGTCAAAAAGCGAAAACAGCATTCAGCATTTTGCAGTGAATTATAGAGGCAGCAGGCACCCCAAGCACCTTCCAGGGGGAGCCACACTCAGCACCTCAGCATCAGGCCATCATTGCTTTGAGCTATGACTGTGAGAATCGGTGCTTTACGCTGTAGCAGCCAAGAGCAGGCTGCCCCAAGATGTGCTACTGTGATATGCAGATTACTTTGGAGTTGAGAATCATCAAGGTCCAAAAGACTCAAGAGACTCAGAGATACTTTGACTTCCTATTCCCCAACTGCATAAAAGGAATTCAGATAGAGGACCTGCTCTAGCAAGAAGGCTATCACCTTAGATAACTATGTTATAATGTAAACTAGGTGTGGTAGACAGGGGAAGGATGTGGCTAAGTCTGTTAATATTCCTCTCTGTGCCCCTCCAACCCACCATTGTTTCTGTTAGCCCGCACACGTTTATCAAACATTCTTTTCATATTCCCATAAATTACTTCCCTTTTCCTCTGAAGTTTCAGATCCCTACCCCCTTTTCTTTGGTTCAGGATGACATATATACCTCATTTTCCCTGTCTTTGGAACCCATGCCTATAGCATCCCCATATGTATGCAATTAAACTCTGTATTTTTCTCCTGATACCTGTCTCACATCAGTCTGCTTCTTAGACCAGCTAGAAGAACCTTGAGGAGTAGAGGAAATTTCTTCCTCCTCAACAATGTCCATTTATTTTGTACATCCATTAGTAAGGTGTGTCTTGAGGTATCAAAGTCCGAAAGGCTATTTTTTGGATCTGGGGACACTAAAATGTTTTTCCAAGCAAATTAAGGTTCCTACTGGCTGGTAACTGCTTCTTTGCTTTATATCATTTCAGCTTACAAAGGGTTTCACAGGAATGCTCTACTTTGGGATAGTGAGGGAAAACTGACACTCTCAATAACTGTGGGGTAGGCAAGGGAGGAGAGGCTTTCTTATACACATTCAAGCCAATTCTGTGGCTTTCCTAGGGCCAATTAGCAGAAAGAACAGCAAGTGCAAAGTCCCTGAGTGCGTAAAAGAGGTCCCAGGGGAAGCAGTAACCAGATCAGGTAGAATGTGGTGGGAAGGCATTTAAGGGTTTTGAACAGAGCAGACAGGACAGGATTTACATTTCCGGAGGATTATTCTGGCTGCTGAATTGTGAATGGGCTGTAGGGGGAAAGGTGAGATTCAGTGACACAAGCAAATTGCTGCAATGCAAAAATCCAGGCCAGAGGTGACAATGGTTTGGATTACAGTATCAGTGGTAGAATGATCCAAGAAGTAATTGGATTATCTATATATTTAACATGAAGCACAGAGAAAATGTCAGCGCTACAGATGATTCTGAGGTTTTTGGTAAAATGCAGCTGAAAAGACTGACAACTACAAAATTTTAAGGTACAACAGATTTCATACTGATACAATGAAAAATTATTTACCAAATCTTATAAAGATTCTAGTTAAGTGAGCATCTGAGGAAAGAAGTCTAGGGACAAATAAAAATAACACTTATACACCACAGGTGGCAAACTATGGGAACCTAGTACAAGTCAGTAAAGATGGAAAATGTTTCAGTCCAGAAGATTAAGAACAATGAATAAAATGTTCTGTACTATCTATGCTATAATTTAAGTGGGTCTAAGTGTGCAATTTTTTTTCTTAAAAAAATTATAGCTTGGAATCATTGACTCCCTTAAACTTGTCCTATGAAGCAGGACTGTTTTTAGCATTAGAAGGGATAAGCTTCCAAATTGAAAGAGTTGACTAGAATATCAAAAACAGACATTTAAAAATGCCTATAAACCACAATCAGCAAGAACTAGACATCCCAGAACACTAAAGCAACATGTGGGAAGTTCTATTTGGTGAGAACAAACAAACACAACACAACATTCAAGACAGTTGCAATTAGGTTCCCATAAGTCTCTTACAATTTTTCCCTTGCCTTGTTTCCCTAGGCCGGCTACTAACTGAAAAATTCTAAAATGAAATGTGGGATAATGAAAGCCAAGTGTCAGTTTTGCCTGAAGTTAAGAAACTATAAAAGAACATGAAGATGATAACAAAAAAACAAAACAAAAAAAGAACATGAAGAGAAAAGTCAATACTCCCTCTTCAATCTATCTTTACTTTAGGGCTATACAGCTGTGACAAATTAAATGGTGGGAACACCTTTAATTTTTATAGTTCATTACTTCCAGAAAGTTTAAATGCTATAATAGAACAACTTCCAAATCACTGAAACCTAAATCAGCAGAAACTTCTTTGAGTCGCAAGTGCATTTCTAACCATGGCCAATCGGTTACACATCCTGGTAAAGATTCTGGGGCAAAGTGAGGCAGAAATAGACACTTGGAGAAACACCCCTGATCTCTGAATAGTAGAACTACATATGCCAGAATCTCACCATTCTGCATCAACATTCTCTAAAATCTAAGGGAAAACATATCCCAGTCTTGATGTAGGAGAAATCAATACTACAGTGTCAATGAACATAGTAAGAAAGACAAAGTAGCAGTAAACCATTAAAGCCTCTCTGGTCCTCATGCACAGATAGTAAAATAATCATAGCCAATTAGATATGAACAGGTGCAGATGCAGTTTTAAGTAAGTTGCTACTGGCATCTAGTGGGTAGAGGCCAGGGGTGCAAAGAAATATCCTACAATAAACAGGGCAGCCCCTCTCAACAAAAAAATCATCCAGCCTAAATGTTAATAGTGTCCAAGACTGGAAAAAACCCTGCTACTGGCCAATAAAATGCAAAGTTGATGTTACCTTTTTCCCCCTAAGTGGCAAAATTCAAGGCGAAAATCATTTCTAGCTCAACCTGTCAAAATGTGTTTGAATTTCTATGGCCAAGAGTCATTTGGATCACTACCAGTTTTCTCAAAGTTCCATTCTCCTACATACAAGTTGTAGAAAAACCCAGTCATCTCTATTGAATCATATTACCCCTCAAGAGTCCTAGTCAGAGCCTTATACCCCTGAACAGTTACCCAGATCTCTGGCCCAAAGTCTTGCTTAATTATTCCTGGAAAAGTCAATTACAAATAACAATTCATTGTTTAACATGATGGCTTATTTTCAAATTTTGGACCTTTTATGACTGAGAAAAAAGCACTGTTAAAATATAACCCAACAAAGACTTTTCAACAGGAGCTGTGGGGTAGACAAAGGATGCAGTAAAGGGTATCCAGCTGGTTGGGTAAGAAATCTGCGTGAAAATAAAGCTGCTTGAGTCAACAGACACTGAAATGTAGCCATAAGCTTAGTGTACTTCTCAAAATGATTCTCAAAAGGAACACAGAATATGCCTTCAGTAACTGATCTGAAAAAAAGCAGGAACATTCACCTTCA